TGCAGCATTCAGGGTGGTGAGGGTGCAAAGTTTTCCCTGCCAGGGGTAACCTTGCCCTTTCTTTTCCAGGGAAACAATGACGACCTGATTCTGTCCTGCTGCCTCCACTATTGCAATGACAAGGCCAAGGATTTCATGCCCTCCAACAAAGGTGGGACATCCTCACATCCTCTTTGTCCCTTCTCTGTGGCATTCCACAGACTCCTCCCGTTTCTCTTTCATGGCCCTTGGATCTGTTTCCCTCCTGCATTTTGCCTCTTTCAACACCAAGGTGCCACCTCCTGCCTCCGGTCAGCCCCAGGCTGTGGCCCTCCCCCCTCATTGCCAAATGTCGCCTCATGGCACCTTGGGGATGCCCCAGCCTGTGACAAACACACCATAAACATCCACAGATCCATTTTTTGTGGTGACAAAGGGCCAGAAAATGCCTCCTCCCCATGACCCCTGATGCCTTCTGTCCAGGATCTTTTTCCTCTGCATTCCTGGTTGGCATCAGCCATGTGTGCTGGGACCAGACAGCCTCCAGGCTGTTGCCAGGGCGGCAGGGATGGGAATCACATCAGCAGCTGCCCAAGAAATCAACCCGCATTTGTCAGCACGAATTCTTAGCAGCTTAACTTGTCAGATTCACAGAGAAACCGTCACCAAATGTTTATGTGCAAATGATGCTGAATTTTGAAATCATGTGGATTATGGGGAATGGGGCCTGACAAGCTGACAGCCTCTGGTTTGTAACAAGGAGGCGCGTCACCAGCGCGGGGCAGAGGATGTTTATTGTTACACATTTCTTAAAGTGTCCGCGCAGAACCTCCTGCTCCCACTTGAGGCAGCTCTCAATCCCTGCCCTGCCTTCCCACTGAGCCCCTAATTCCCTTCCTTCCAGCACAGCCAGCCAGGTGCTTGCCCACCATCCCCAGCCCCAACACCGTGACCATAGCCCGGCGTTCCTGGCCACCCTCCCCTTCCCCTCGTCCTGCTGCTCCCTGCGCAGCCAATCTGGGCCCATGTTGGGCTCCCATAAACTCTGTTTTTTCCATTCCCGTCCTGGCTCGGAGGCACTGTGTTTCCTGTGCTCATAGGAACAGTGCTCTGGTCACAGGACCCAGCTGCTTACACATAGCCCATATGCTTCCCCTGCCTCGCACACACATAAGCGTGGCTCCCACATCCCAGCCCGGCGCGTTGCGTGCGGGGCAGCTCATCCATCTGGGGGCAAGATCCCTCTGGTTCTTTCTCAGGCATCAACTCCCAGTGTCTGTCTGAGCCCCAGCCAGAAACGCCTCGGTGTCAGTGGCGACTCCAAAAAAGCTCCGCAAAAAATAAGGGGTGGCTTTAGATCTTATAATGAGATCAACAGAATAATAGCACCGGCTTCCTGCTGGAGCCAGGGTCGCAGGCCGTCTTCCTGGCCTGGGTCAGGCAGGGACCTCCTCTTCCCAGCCCGTGGCCAGTCCACCACCCCTGTGGGCAGTGGGCAATGGTCACAAATCACCCCTGGGCAGCACAGAGAGGGGAGCAGATGGCCTTGGGGATGCAGGGCTGTGTGCGAGGCCCACCAGGCAAGGAGCAGGGAGGGTAGGGGGGAGCACACCGTGGGATGGATGGATGGATGGATGGAAGGGGAGCACACCATGGGATGGATGAAGGCCCGGGGCAGGCCAGAGCTTCACTGTGCTCCGTGTGTGTGTCTCGTTGCAGACGATCCCATCCATTTGCTCAGGGAAGTGGTTTTGCTGACGGACGACCGGAACCTGCGAGTCAAAGCGCTGACCCGCAACGTGCCGGTGCGGGACATCCCCACCTTCCTCAAGTGGGCTCAGGAGGGCTGAGGAGGCCGAGGGGGGCCCAGGGCCCCTGAGGGAGTCACGCAGCCCCTGACGGCGGGAGCCCGGCTCCAGCGGCCGCCTCGCCGCGCCGCCGCCGCCGCCAGCCCACCACGAACAATAAACGCCACGTCTTCAACCCACCCCGGAATGGCCGTGCTGAGAAGGGCCCCCCGAGGGCAGAGCAGCTGGGAAGGTCATTGCTGTGGATGGTTCACGTGGAGGCTGGGCCCTTGAGGGGCCCGCCGGCCTTTGGGCAGTGCCAGCGCGGAGCTGGAGAGCCCCGCTGGCGAGGGAAGCTTTGGGTGAGCCCTGTGCTGGATCACCAACCAGCCTTTTGCTTGGTTTGCTTGGGTGCAGAGAGCTCGAGTCACGCCTCGGTGGCTCTTTGGGTTTGTAGGCTGCGTAGGGCAGAGATTGGGGACACGCCGGCACAGACTTTGGGATTGTTCAGTCCAGCCTGTACCCCTTGGAGAGGCCATGGATTTCGAGGGCAGGTTTCCCCCTGCCCCAGCCTATTTTGTCCTGCATGGCCAGACAGCCCCAGGTCCCCATGCCCTTCCCCACCGTGTGCTGCCCCACGCAGGAGTGCTGCTTGCAGAGGGCTTTGTCCTCTCCGTGGTGTGGGGTTTGCTTGTTGAGTTTCATTTTTTCAGTGTAGGTTAGTTTTCAGGTGTGTGCCCTGCCTGCTTTGCTGGGGGAGGCTTTGAACCCCCACAGCTGCTTTGTCCTGATCCCCTGCCCACCCCAGCTGTTCCTTGTCCCTTTTCTTCTCCCCCAAACCCCTTAGTCCTACCCTGCTACCTTCAGGCACGCTTTTGACCTAGGACTCAGTGTGAGGCTAACAGAATTCTCCAAGGACCCCAGGACTGGCTGTCCCACGGGTGCTGTGTGTCCTCACATTGCCACAGACCCCTCTTCATGTGGGATCTGGCTTCTGCCTATGGCTGCAGAGTTAGAGAGAACCGCAGAAATGCTCAGCCCTATTATTTGCCTAGCTGAGAGGGTCCATGGATGGAGCCATTGCCTCGTCCCTGGGTCATTTTGCACGTGGAGTTGGGGTTGGGGTGCTGCTAAGCCTTCCACACCCCACCTTGTCCCATCAGCAAGTGTCCCATCCCCAGTGACACACCAGACACAGAAGCTAAGAGGGAGCATTAACCCCTGAACCAGAGCCCCTGGAGCTCTGTCAAGTCCCAGTCCCACGAGCCAGGGTGGGAGCAGCCCCAGGGCCACCCCTGGTCCCCTCTGGGGCGCTGCAGCCATGGGAGGGACATGACAGAGGTGGCAGAGGAAGCAGCAGGACAGAGCCCCGCGTTTTCCTTTCCTGTGTGGGTGGCTCAGACCCAGAGTCTGCAGCAGGAAGCTCAGCCACCCCAGTGCCAGCCAGCCCTGTGCCAGCCCCCAGCCCCAGGGCAGGGCAGCAGCAGAGCCAGAGCCTCGGCAGCGCGATGGACACACAGACTGTGCTGGACAACCCATGCCAGAGCAGTGCCCAGCCCGGGGCACCGGGCACAGAGAGACTTGGGGGTGCTGTGGGGCACACGGAGCCACTGGCACAGCACCCACGCCCCGTTTCCTTCCTTGCCCACACCGTGCTGGCTGCCAGCTTTGCAGAGACTTTGCCTTCTCCTCCGCGCCGGGTGTGTTTCAGTGTTTGCTTTCTTACGGCGCTGCCCCAGCGCTCCTTTGCCAGGTGCCACCAGCCTGGAGGGCCCTGCAGCTCTGCCAGGTGTGTCACAGGCTCGGCCATGGGACAGTTTTGGTGCCACCAGACGAGGTGGCACAAGAGTGAGCAGAGCTCGAGCAGGCTGGGAGCCCTTGTCTTGGGGCAGCGCCCGCGTTCGGGATGTTAAGTTGGTTTTAATAATTTTTAGTATTAAACATGTGTCAGTGCAGCGTGCTGTGTCGTTTGTTGTCAGCCCATGAGTTGCTGCTGAGGGTGGGGTGGGCGACACCAGGGAGGGGCAGCAGTGGGACACACTGTAAGGATGACAGCAGCTCTGTCCCACCTGCATCGGCTGCTGCCCCCAGCCGAGGGGGTCTGGGCTAACCAGGTGCACAACAGAGCCCCCCGGGTCCCCTCCCTGCAGCTCTGCACCCCCAGGTGACCCCCAGGGTCACTCCCAGCCATGCTCAGCTTCAACCCTGCACCAGCCAAGCCCCTCCCCAGAGAAGAACGCGAGGCCACGCGTGTTAATGTCACTTTATTGCTCATTCCGTTTCGACTATAGAAAAAAAAAAGGGCGAGAAGCCCGTGTACAAATTGGACGTGATACAGGGGGGGCCGGGGCCCCGCTGGGCGCTGCCAGCTGTGCTTTGGGTGCTGCCGCCGCCGCCAGGCGCCCCCGGGCAGCTCCGGGGCACCGGGACAGGAGCGCAGCTCAGGCTAAGGCACAGTGGCTGCGAGGCCGGGGCAGCGCTGCTGGCGGCCGCCCGGAGCCTCGTGTGCAAAGGAGAGGAGGGGGCTCGGGAGGGGGGAGAAGCTTCACATTTGCCCCAACGGAGGGGTCAGGGCACGGGCCGGGGGGGTCCAGGCTGGGGGGGCTTGGCCCACACCGAGCAGAAGGTGGGAGAGGGGCTGCGCTGGTGGCAGAGGGTGCCGGGGGGGACTCGGCCCCGGGCTCTGCCCCACCGCCCCCTCCCGCAGCCCCTGCCCACCTCCCGTAGCTGACAAACCAGAGACCGCTTTGTCTTTGTCATGGACCCCCCGGCCCGGCCCGGCCGCGCTGGAGACGGGCGTCTTTGGCAAAAAATAAAAAAATAAAAAATAATCAAGGCGAGTGTGGCCGCCCGAGGGCGAATCCGCCGGGTCCCGGGGCTGGCCCGGGTGCCCCGGGCATCCCTGATGGCGAGGCAGGGCCCAGGGGCTCAGTCTGGGACAGGCCCTGCCCCGCCTCCCAGACGCACGGGGAGCAGCCGGCCGAGCCCTGCGCCGGGGACGGGAGCTCAGTGCTTGCTGCGGGCCGAGGAGCATCGCGATTCCCCGGGCCCCCAGCATGGACGTGACCGCCGCTGCCCCGTCCCGCTCCTGCTGCTCAGCCCGCACCGTCCCCTCCGTCAGTCCGTCCCGAGCCCCCGGGGATGCTCGGGCTCACACCCCGGCCCAGCGCCGGCCGCTCCCGCTCGCACGGAGCCGCCGCTCCGGCCACCACGGACGAGCTACTCACGGCGCTCGGGGAGGCACAGTCCGGGTCCCGTCGCGGCCAAGCCGAGCGCCGGCGGCTCCCAGAGCGGAGCCGGAGCGGTGCTGCGGCTGCCGAGGGCTTCCCCCGGCCCGGGGGCAGCCCTGAGGTAAGGAGCGGGCTCATGTCCTCCAAAGCCTCGGGGCGCAGCCCGGCCTCACTCACAGCTTGTGCGTCGCTGCCGCCCGGTGCCGGGCTCCCGGCACCCCCCACGGCCGGGGGCGGAGGTGCCGCGGGGTCAGTCCCTGATTTATCGGCTTCTCCCGAGGGACACGCCGTCCATCCGTCCCGGAGCAGCTCTCGCGGCACCTTCGCTACTGAGCGAGTTCTCCGGGACCGCCGGCAGCGCCTGGGGACGAGCACCCATCACCTCTCGCCCCCCCCCAGCTCCACACGGGGCAGCGAGGGGAGCCCAGCGGCCCCCCCAGCCCCCCGGCCAGGCCGGTGCTAGGGGGGCGAGTATCGCTCTATGGTCCGGGCGGCCTCGGTGTGCAGGTGCGGAGCCTGCGCCAGCACCTCGGCCGCCTTGTCCTGGCTCAGCCCCAGGTGCTCGGCCGTGAACTTGGCCAGGGGGTAGAGGCTCTCCATGGCCTTGGGGTCGCTGAGGAAGTGCGAGGTGTGGGACAGCAGCTCGGCCGCCTTCTCCTGCTTGAGCCCCAGCTGGTCGGCGGTGAGCCGGGCCATGGCGTAGACGCTGTCAGGGAAGTCCAGCTTGGCTTTGCCGTCGGGGCCGGCCGCGTGCATCTTCATGTGGCTGATGAGGTTGCGCTGCTGGGCGAACTTGCCGCCGCACACCTGGCACTCGTAGGGCTTCTCGCCCGAGTGGATGCGCATGTGCTCGGTCAGGCGGTACTGGCGGGTGAAGCGCATCCCGCAGGCGTCGCAGGCGAAGGGCTTCAGGCCGAGGTGGCTGCGCATGTGGCGGGTCATGGTGCCGCGCTGCGTGAACTTCTTGCCGCAGATGGTGCAGGGGTAGGGGCGCGTCAGCCAGTGCGTCTTCTCGTGCTGCCGCAGCGTGGCCGGGTCCTTGTAGGACTTGTCGCAGGAGGAGCAGCGGTAAGGCCGCAAGATGTCACCCAGGCCCGGGCCACCTTTGTCCAGGAAGGGCACGGCCTGCTCGGCCGCCGCCTTGTGATAGAGCTCCTCTTCGTTGTGGGCCTCCACGTGGGCGTTCAGCTGCTCGGAGCTGGGGAAGCCCTTGCCGCAGGGGATGCAGACGTACAGGTTGTCGCCCAGGCTCTCCGGCTCGTAGCCCAGGTGGTTGCAGTATCGGTCCAGAGCGTCTCCAGGCGAGGGGCCCTCGCTGCTGCCCGTCTCCTCGCTCGTGCTGTTGTCGGGCTCCAGGTCGTTGCTCTCCACGCTGGGGTAGCGGGGCTGCGGTGCCGCAGGCGGCGATTCGGCCTTCTCCTCCCGCTCCAGCTCCTTCTCCGCCTCCCCCTCGTCCAGGTAGGGGCCCAGGGGCTCGTGCTTCATCCAGCGGTACATCAGCTCTCGCCCGTCGGCGCGGGGCAGCGGGGGCTCGGCGCAGGGCGGCGTGCTGCGGAAGGGGTCGGGGGCGTGGGGGTGTCCCCCCGGCTCAGCGCCCGGCGGGGAGTCCTTGTAGGCAGCGGCGTGGCTGCCCAGGAGGCCGGCGCTGACCGGGGGGCTGTCGTGCCGTGGGGGCAGCGAGGGCTCGCGGGGCTCGCTGGGCAGCAGGCGGTCGGTGGGCAGGAGCTGGGCGGAGGGGCCGGTGGGGCTCTTCTTGGAGAGGTCGAGGCCGCAGGGCGGCGAGCAGTGGCGCTCGGGCGGGCACAGCCCGTGGGGGTGCAGCGGGGCGCCCTGGGCGGCCGAGGCGTACAGCTCCCCGCACTGCGTGTTGAGAGGCGCCGCCGGCTCCACGGGAGGCAGGTCCACGGGCCGCGGCGTCCCCGAGTAGCAAGCCTGGATGACCGGCGTGGCGGCCCGCAGCCCGCGGCCCAGCTTGTAGGGCGCGTAGCCCCCGCGCAGGTGGCAGTACTTGCCGCTGCGCTTCAGCTTCTTCTTGCACAGGGCCACCAAGCCGGGGATCTGGAGGTAGCTGGCGGCAGCCAGCACAGCACCCAGGCTCTGCTCGCTGCCCGGCTCGCACTCGGCCAGGCGGCCGGTGTAGATGAAGTCGAGGATGAGGCGGAAGATGCCGGGGCTCACCATCTCATGGTCCAGGTTGAGCAGGTTGTCGTGGACCACCAGCGACTTGAGGTAGGCGCTGCTGGCGGCCAGGATGTTCTTGTGCGCGCGGAAAAGCGCGTTCTGCACCACGATGATCACGTCGCACAGGAAGCCCTTGGTGCGCTGCGTGTTCAGCTGCAGCAGCAGCTGCCGCGAGTGGCTCGGCACCTCCATGGCGTCCAGCATCCCGCTCCTCGCCCGCCGCCCTGCAACACAGCGGCCGCGCCGTCAGCGCCGTGCCCGGCCCCGGTGCCCGCCGCACCGCGCGGGGGGCTCGACGTGCGCGGCCGGGGCTTCACCCACGCGCGGGGCGGGCGGCGTGGCGGGGGCGGGTCTGAGCCCCGCGCTCCGCCGAGTCCCGGCCGCTCTGCGCGCCCGCCCGGCCGGTGCCACCGCTTATATGGGGGCTCGTTTCTCGGCGGCTCGGGGGGGCGGGAGGGTGGCGAAAACCCCCGGAGGGTTTTGGAGAAAGTGACATCACCCGCCGCCGCCGCCAGCGCCGCGCCCCGGCCCCGCCAGCCGCGGGATCCCGAGACCCCGCGCCCACCTGCCGGGAGAGAGCAGGGGGGACGCCCCGAGCCGGTGCCCGCCCGCCGCTCCCCGCCGCTGTCCCGCTCCCCGCCGCGCCTCCCCGCTTCTTATGCGCGCCGGTCCCGGGAGGCGGCGGGCCGGACCCCCCGGGCGCCCCCCGCCCCCGTTTCCTCTCCCCCCCTCGAGGTGAGCGGGGGGACGGTCGGGGGTGTGGGGGGAGCGGGACCTCCCCTCCCCGCCTCCGTGCCGGTGCCGGTGCCCCCCGCCCAGGTGCGCGAAGCCAAGAGCCCGCGGAGCGGCTTTGTCGGCTGATTTCCCCGCATTTCGGGGCGTTCCCCCCCTCCTTTTACCTGGGCGTCCGGTGGCCTCCGCCAGCCAGCTGAGGTCTCGGTGAACTCTCATGGCTCAGCCCCGGGGGGGCCGCCGCCGGTTGCTGCTCCCCTCCACCCTCCTCTTCCTCTGCTGCTTCTCTTCCTCCATACCCCGCGCTCCCGGCCGGTCCTACGGAACGGGAGGAGGAGGAAGAGGAGGAGGAGGTGGTTGTGGAAGAAGCAGCAGCGGTTCCTCGGGGTTCCCGACGCCGCCAGCTCGGAGGTGAAACCCGGGCTGCGAACTCCCCCTGACCCCGGCCTGAACTCCGAGCAGCGCCGCTGGCTGTTAAAGGGACGGCGGGAGGTTTTCCTCCTCCCATCCCCGGGCGGGGCACCGACAAGCCGGGCCCCCCCCTTTACACACCCCTCCCTCCCCATCCCGGTCTCCTCCTCCCTGCCCGGCTTTTCCCTCCTCCCGGTCCTCTCCCGCCGCGCCCCGGCCGCCCCCTCGGGGGTCTCGGTCCTCAGCACATCGCTCTTTGCCCGGGACGGCCCAGGTGGGGCCGGGAGCCCCGGAGCGGGGGCACCGGGGGTGTCCCCGGGCAAAGGGCGATGCGTCCCCCCCGTCGGTCCCGCTCGTAGGGCGCCATCTAGCGGCTCCCGGTGCGCCCCACCCCGCCCGGTACCGGCGGCGGCTCCTCCCCGGCAGGTGGGACCCGACGGGGCGGACGGGGCTGGGGAGCGATGGAGCCGAGGGGTTTCGCTCGCCGCCCCGCCCGCCCGAGGGATGGGTGCGGATGGGCAGAGCGGGGGGCACCCAGCGGTTGGGGAGGCTGGAGAGGGTGGCAGCGTTTTGGGGTGCAGAGGGTGGAAGGTGGTGTCCGATGGGTGGAGATGATGTGGGAAGGGGTTCTGGGGCGCACGGAGGGAGGGCAGAGGGGCGCAATTTGCTGGTGAGGGGGGAGAGCAGAGCGGGAGGGGCGCGCAGCGCTGGCGCCCAGATGTGCGGTGGCTGCGGTGGGCTGGGGGCTTGCGGTGGTTCGGGATGAGGAGGAGGGGGAGGAGGGGGAGGCAGAGCCACGTTTCCCCGGCTTTATCCCTCCAGCCGCCGCTGGAAAAGCTGCTGGGCTTGGGGTGCAGGGTGGGGTACCCCCCTTGGAGCGGGGGGAGCCGCCTCTCGCTTCACACTTTCACTTCTCCTTTCTCACAGCCGCAGCCTCTTGCACAACCTCCTGGTACGGCAAAGCATCGCGATGGGCTTCCCCAGGCCGGCTGCTGATCCGGGGGTGTCCCGCTGGCACCCCCTGAGCTGAGCGGGGCACCCCGAGCAGGGCCATCCCTCCCACCTGGGGTTTCACCCCATAACCTCGGTCCCGTGGTGAAGGGGAGACAATGTGGGGTGCCTGGGACAGGGTTTGGGCAGCCCTGAACTGGGGACAAAAAGGGATGGCTGCTGGCAGGGTGATGGCAGCCCTTGCCCTCACAGCTCAGCATCGCTCACCTGGAACTGCCCCTCAGATCCCTTCAGACTCAGCGTGTCCCATTCACTACGGAAATGTCGCCCTGGGGACCGGGACGGAGTGTCACTGCCCGCGGGCTCACCCCAGGCCCAGCAGTTCCCCTCGCTGCTCCCCACGCTGGGCTCTTGCCCACAGGAAGCGCCGGGATCCTGGGAGCGGGACGTGGGCGACCCTCGTTAGAGCCGCGGTTTAATCCCAACTCCCCGGGCACTAATTTCTCCCTTCTCTCCCATTTTTTTTTTTTCTTTTCTTTCCCCCCTCTCTTCAATTAACGGCTGGAAGTGTTTCAGGTTCTGGCAGCGAGCTCTGGACGTCGCTGTGAGCGATGGCTCCCGCGGGCTCCGTGCCGGTAATTTATGGGGCTGAGCCGCATAAATCACGGCAGCGGGCGGCTCCCGGACAGCTGCATCCCCCGGGGCCGGCCGGGACCCCGGGCTGCCCCTGCTACCTGCTGAGTGACGCCGAGCCCCGGGGGCAGCGGCCCAGGCAGGCGCTGGAAAAACCCTTCACCTTTTCCACCCTCCTCTGCGGCTCCTCTCGCATTCCCGGCCTCTCCCAGCAGCGGAGGGGCGGATCGGTGCCCGCAGGGTTTTGGGGCAGGTGGAGGGGGGTTTATTGCATGAGTATCCCGGCTTTCTGGAGGGATCCTAACACAGCAGACTGAGCCAGAGTTCCGCACGCAGAGCTGTCAGAAGCTGCCGGGTGTCCCCAGGGAGCTGCAGCCCATGTCCAGCCCCGAGGGACATCGGGGACAGCCGGGCTGCAGGAGCAGCCAGCGCCGGCAGCGCGCAGAGAAAGGGGCATTTTCGCCTCAATGTGCTGAGCAGATTGGAACCAGCTCTGCTTAAGTCATTGGCTCTGTTGGGAGGTCTGAGCTGGAGCGTTTCCCGCCTGTGCCCCCTCCCCACGATCAATCAAAGTTGCAGCAAATTAGCCCAGATGCTGGGAGATTCGGTTCAAATCCAGCTGTGGTTTGGATCGCGTTCGCATGCCTGGCTTCATGTGGGACCTGGGCTTTTGGACAGGATACAGCCCCCCGGTCTCTGCAGGGCTCTGTTTCCCAGCGCAGCCTCTCCCCAAAGCCCACACACATGTCTTCCATTACTGCCCTTGGCCAGCGGGGCCGCATCCGGCAGCGCCAGGAGCCTGCAGCCCCCGCGGGCAGCTCCAGCTCCGCTCTGCCGGGGTGGAGCAGCCCCGAAACTGCGCCCCTGTGTGTGCAGGGGATGGATGGGGATGGATGCGTGTCTGTGTCCCCTCCACTGCGGGGCTGAGGCTGTGCAACTCGTGACAGTGCTGAGCCCTGGGTCACCGCTCCCATCTCCTGAGCTGTGCCGGTGCCAAGGCCCTGGGGGCAGCCACGGGACCCTGCCTGGCTCTCCCAGGGTGCTCCCATCAGGAGAGGATCCCTGGCAAGGGCAGAGGTGCCCTGGCACAGCACAGGCCTGGCCGGGGTGGCTGTTCCTGCTGTGCTGCCTGGGTGGCGTTGTTGGGGTGGACAATCCCTGTGGGGGGATGCTCAGGTGGCTTGGGGGGCCCTTCTCTGTGGAACTTGAGGGGGCAATGGGACCCTTTTCTTCTGGGGTGACACTGAGAGGACCCTTTTTGCAGAGTGATTCTTGGTCAGACAAGGGCACCTATCCCTGCAAGGTGATATTTGATTAAGCAGGGCAACAATTCCTAGTGGAAGGATATCCAGGTGCACAAGAGACAGAACCAAACAGCAGGAGCTGAGATTGGGAGAGACCTCAGGAGATCTCTCTCCTGAGGGAGAGACCTCAGGAAGTCACCCCAGCCCCAGCAGAGTCATCAGGGCTGGCTGCACAGGACCTTGCCCAGGTGGTTTTTGGTATCTCCAAGGATGGGGGCTCCAGCAGCTCCCCTGGGCAGCCCAGGCCAGTGCTCCCCCCCCAGTGAGGAAATGCTCCCTGATGGTGGCACTGTGCCCCCTGCCCCTGGTCCTGGCACTGGGCAGCAGGAGCTGAGTCTGGCTCTGCCCTCCCCACACCTCCAGGGCTGTGCATGCACTGACAGCTCCCTGGAGCCTTCCCTTGTCCCAGCCCTCTGCCTCTCCTCATCAGGGAGATGCTCCAGCCTTTTACTCCTCTTACTGCTCTTTCCCTGGACTCTCTGCAGTGTTTCCATGCTGGGAACCCAGGACTGGACCCAGCACTCCAGGGCTGAACAGGGGGAAGAATTCTCTCACTGCTGCCAACTAGCACAGAGCAGGACACCACTCACCTCCTTCATCCCAAGGGTCAGCTTCCCCAAGGACCCTCAAGGTGTTTTCCACCAACTGCTGCCCAGCTAGACACTCCTGGGATATCCCAGAGAGCAGGGCTTGGCAATTCCCCTTTCTGAAATGAGGGGCAATGGGATCCCTTCCTTATGGGGGGGATGTTTGGGAAATAAAGGGAACCCACCCCTGTGGGGCAATGCTTTGTGGAGCAATGGGACCCCTTCCTTGTGGGATGGTGCCTGAAGGGGTGACAGGACCCATCCTCTGCAGGTAGATGAGGATCCTGTCCCTGAGGGTCAGAGTTTGGTGAGATTTTGGCACCCCTTTTCCTTATGGGTGATGCTTCTTGGGGGCAATTTTCAGTCAAACAAGGACACCCATCCCTGCCAGGTGTTGTTTCTGGGGCAGTGGCACCCCTTCCCTGTGGGATGACACTGGATGGGGTGATGGAACCCCTTCTCTGCAGGCAGGTGATGATCTCACCCCTATGGGATGATGCTTGGTGAAACATTGGGACCTTTCCCTTATGGGAGATGCTTCATGGGGCAGTGGGACCCCTTCCCTGTGGGGTGACACTTTATGGGGTGATGGAACCCCTTCTCTGCAGGCAGGTGATGGTGTCATCCCTGATGCTCGGTGAAACATTGGGACCTTTCCCTTATGGATGATGCTTCATGGGAGCCCTTCCTCGTGGCACAATGCCTAGATTGGCTGAGGAACACTTCCAGCAGGGTGATATTTTGGGGCTTGGGGTGATGGGACCCTTTCCTTTGAAGTGGAACCCTTCCAGCAGAGTGATATTTTGGGGCTTGAGGCGATGGGACCCCTTCCTTTGAAGTGATGCACCGTGGGGCAGTAGGATCCCTTCCTTGTGGGGTGCCATCCAAGCAGGTGAACGCCCCACCCCTGCGGAGTCACGGCGGCACAACGAGACCTCCCTTCCTCTCCCCTTTCCTCCTCCTCCAACCCCCTCACCCACCACCTACAGGTGACCTCCCCCTCCCCACGCACACCCCCGGCTCCGCTCACCGCCTCCCCCGGCAGGGACACGGCCGTGTCGCCGGTGGGAAGCCCACGAGATGGCAGCAACGGGCCGCGCTCCGGGATGACACCCCCTGCTCGGGGCCGCGACCCCCCCGCTCCGCATCCCGCTCGGGGCTCCGTGCGCGCCTCGGGGGCACCGGGACGGGCAGCGGGGGGGTCGCGGCCCCCGGAGGAACGAGCGGCGGAGCTGCGCAGCCGGGTGCGGGTGGGCCGGCCCCGGGTGCTGACTAATCCCGGGCTGAGTCACGGTTGCGGCGGGGAGCGCTGCGGCAGCGATTCCGCACCTCCCCTCGCCGAACCGGAGAGCCCCGACGGGGCGAGCGCCGCTGCTGCGTGGGGGAAAAATAAAGGGGGGGACAGGAGGGGGACACCCCCATCTAGCAGGGGGCGGGAAAGGCGATTTGGGGAGTTCTAGTGGGGTGGCAGCACCTCGGTAGGGGGAGGATGGGGAGGTTGGGAGGGGTTAAATCTCTGAGGCGCTCTGCAGGTATTTGGGGGT